ACTGACGACTAATTTGCTTTCTCATACCTAAAGTTAACTTACGAGTCCTTAAGAATATCATAGTTGTAGCTTAAGTGAACTACCTCGATATGTTATTACCTTTTTAATTTAGGGGAAAATTTCTTACTAATCTTTGAGAATCTAACTTTGTCATAACTTAAGTGAGGCAGATCGATACGTTCTCACATCTCTAGCTGAGGAGTGGGGGTTTAAACTAAGTACTCCTGGTGGACTCTAGTTGTAGATTAAATAGGCCTTCTGGACTCGTATATTTGTTATGTTGACCACAGGCATGTATTATCAAACACTGTGGTTCATTATGATGATCGTCTCTCTCTCTCTCTCTCTCTCTCTCTCTCTCTCTCTCTCTCTCTCTCTCTCTTTCTCTCTCTCGGGGTCGCTTTGCACTTTCTTTCCCTTAGTTGTAATTATCACAAGACAAGGTGGTAGTGTATGGTGAAAGTTGATGTGTCCACTGAAACATGATGCTGCTTCGTTATCGTCTCCAGTGTGTGTGTGTGTGTGTGTGTGTGTGTGTGTAATTGCGTTTCTATATGTGATATCTGTATTTGCATGTTTGTGTGTGTGTCTGTGTGCATATGTAGGTCACAGACAGCCTCCTTAACAGACAGGACAGGAAGTAAAGTGTATTCAATCGCAGATATATCTCAACCTATTTGCAGGGGCTAATTTATTGTGCACTTCCATGTATGTAAAGTTTATACTGTGGGCGTCTTATACATAAGAGCAAGGTAAGTAGTGCCATTGACCTATTAGAGGGAAAAACAACACCGGCAGGAGCACTGAACAACGTCTGGCGTTCCTCTCATATGGAAATTATACCAGAAAAATGTCCCCCATCTCCAGGGAGTTCGATTTCCAGTCGCAGGGGAAAGGTGATATTAAATCTTACTGATGATGGTTAATAAAAACAAAACCTTCCTTGTTGGCAACACTCACACTCGTCGCATCCTGTTCATTCATGAAGGAAAAAAAGGTCATGAATCAGCATTCGTATGTGATGGAAGACACGACGTAATTCTTATAATTCACGGTCATCATCACACTATGAGGATGATTAATGGTGATGACAGTAGTGTTACCTGGATGGTGACTACAAGAGGTTCCCTATCCTGACTGAGCGTCTGTCTTTCAGTACAAGTTGATGATGTGACATTAAACGAGAAACTGGTCTCGAGGGATATTTGAATACTGTTATCTTATAACATCTGTATGTTTACATGCGCTGTACCTGTACTTAAACCTGTATCTTCACCTATAAATGATACATTATCTTTGTACTTTAACCTGTATCTGTCCCTGTTAAGTTAGGATCAATGAGCACAAGGGATGATATTGGTTTAGTTCCGGTCTGTTACGTTACTTCAGCTACTTCCTGATCCGGCTACTGTCGCTTCCCTTGGATACCACTGGTTGTACTGTAGAGAGGCGTCCTAAATTTCTCCATTGAATGACATACGATACCCTCTACGCCTGTCGTTCTTAAGAGAGAGGCGAGGAAGAAGGTTTGTTAACTGAACGATACCTACTGACACACAACGTCTCCTGAACTATCGTCAAGATTCTATATTGAACGAGACACGAACTCTGCTATAGCCGTGTAGTGGTAAGAAGACGAACATTTTCATTATTGAACGATACAAAGCGGCACATTATCAACAGCCCCCCCCCCCCAGGCTAATAGGGTTCCCTAATGCCTTAATGAACAACGCCTATCACATTGGTCGTTCTTGTGGGTAGGAGGCGAAAGTTTCTATGTTGAATGACACATGACGCGGATGTTCAGATGGTGAAGGAGTTGAAGGGGTAAAGGTGTTATCTTACGGTGGTACCTTGTCAGTGTAAGACATCACCCCCCCTCTTCCTCCTCTCTCTGTGGCATCATGGAGTACAAGGAGAGGGTGTGAGAGAGAGGCACAGAGAGGAGGGAAGAGTTAACATGCTGAGCCCGTCCGTCTGTACCAGAACTAACAGGTCACAGGCCCAACTAGCCTTTATCCCAAACCGTTAATAATTATCCACAAACTTAATATAGAAAACGTATTGAGAGCGAATATAAACCCAAGAAAGTACGAAGGGGAAAGTATCTACAGCAATAAGCAAAAGTAGGCATTAGGAACGAAGTAGAGAAAGTATAGTTAATGAGAGGATATGACAAATATTGACGATTTCGGAGGGGGAAGTAAATACAGTAAGTGAAAGTTGAAAGGGGGTATTGACATAGTATTTGAGTTGTGGGTGGCGGTAATGTGTACCCCGGCCTACTCTCTCTTCGTCTTTCTAGCAGTCCCCCCCCCCTCTCTCTCTCTCTCTGTGGCTCCCTCTCTCTCTCTCTCTGTGGCTCCCTCTCTCTCCATATTTCTAGTTCGCTCTCTCTCTTTCTCTTTGACCTTTCGTTCACCCCTCCTTCCACACCCGCACGTACTCCCACTTTTCCGTGATCCCACCGTGACCCTCCTGAGTGACCTCTGACATCCCCCACCCACGCCCCGAGCAGACATTGTCAGAGGGGAGCAGGTGGTAGAGTGGTACCGTTCTTGCCTCGCAAGCAAGATGTCACGGGCTCGATTCCCGGGCCGGCGGAAGTTGTTTGGACACTCTTCCTAGTCCCCTTCGTTCCTGTTCACCTAGCAGCAAAGTAGGTACCTGCTGTAAGTCGAAAGTTGCGAATTCGTATTCAGGGACAAGTTATTGGAGCTTCCAATAACTTGCTTAGACATAAACAATTGACTCTTCACGCTTCTGTGCCCTCTACTCTTCAGGCTTCTACGTCCTCGACTCTTCAGGCTTCTACGCCCTTAACTCATGAGACACAAGGCAAGCATGAACTTAGCATGCTTCCCTGTTGGACGCTGTAAACGCTTCTGCGCTTCACCTTACACAAGGATGTAGGGGGGTGCCCAATAAATGAAAAAAAAATGGACATCGTCAGGGCGCGGGAGTGGATCATTACAACCTAACCTAACCTAAACTCAACCTCTTGGGTAGGGATGTTAAGATAATCGAATCTTCCCTCAATTGTTTCAAATAAATAGTGACGCTGTGGTAGTGACTGGTGACGCTGTGGTAGTGACTGGTGACGCTGTGGTAGTGACTGGTGAGTAGTGACTGGTGACGCTGTGGTAGTGACTGGTGACGCTGTGGTAGTGACAGTTGACGCTGTGGTAGTGACTGGTGAGTAGTGACTGGTGACGCTGTGGTAGTGACAGTTGACGCTGTGGTAGTGACTGGTGAGTAGTGACTGGTGACGCTGTGGTAGTGACTGGTGACGCTGTGGTAGTGACTGGTGACGCTGTGGTAGTGACAGTTAACGCTGTGGTAGTGACAGTTGATGATGTGGTAGTGACTCGTGACGCTGTGACACTGACTGGTGACGTTGTGACGCTGACTGATGATGGTGTGACACTGACTGATGATGGTGTGACACTGACTCGTGACGCTGTGACACTGACTGGTGACGTTGTGACGCTGACTGATGATGGTGTGACACTGACTGGTGACGCTGTGACACTGGCTTATGATGGTGTGACACTGACTGGTGATGGTGTGACACTGACTGGTGACGTTATGACACTGACTGGTGACGCTGTGACACTGAATGATGATGGTGTGACACTGACTGGTGACGCTGTGACACTGACTGGTGACGTTGTGACACTGACTGATGATGGTGTGACACTGACTGGTGACGCTGTGACGCTGACTGGTGACGGTGTGACACTGACTGGTGATGGTGTGAAACTGACTGGTGGCGCTGTGACACTGACTGGTGACGCCATTGATGCTATGACACACCCTCGTAATGGTGATACCATTTCGGCTGTAACAGTTCTTGCGGGTGACACTGCCTGAAGCCTCTGTGATTCTGTGACACTGTTTAGTTGCTTGGTGACTTGGTGACGGTGACGATGTGACACTACTCTGGTGACACTGGCGCTATGACACTGCCTGGTGACGATGTAATACTTCCTGGTGACGCTGTTACACTGATGTTGTGACACTGTCTGGCACTAACAGAAATTTCGGCTGCATTTTATTCAGATGCTTTGTCTTTACCACCACCAGGCACTGTCACTAGCACCAGGCACTGTCACTAGCACCAGGCGCTGTCACTAGCACCAGGCACTGTCGCTAGCACCAGGCACTGTCACTAGCACCAGGTACTGTCACTAGCACCAGGCGCTGTCACTAGCACCAGGCACTGTCACTAGCACCAGGCACTGTCACTAGCACCAAGCACTGTCACTAGCACCAGGCACTGTGTCACTGGCACCAGGCTGTCACCAGCACCAGGCGCTGTCACTAGCACCAGGCACTGTCACTGGCACCAGGCACTGTCACTAGCACCAGGCGCTGTCACTGGCACCAGGCACTGTCACTGTCGGCACCAGGCGCACTGTGTCACCAGGCAAGCACCAGGCACTGTCACTACCAGGCACTGTCACTGGCACCAGGCGCTCACTGGCACCAGGCGCTGTCACTAGCAGGGCACTGCCACTGGCACCAGGCGCTGTCACCATAGCACCAGGCACTGCCGCTGTCACTAGCACACCAGGCACTGTCACTAGGCACCAGGCACCAGGCGCTGTCACTAGCACCAGGCACTGTCACTAGCACCAGGCACTGTCACTAGCACCAGGCGCTGTCACTAGCACCAAGCACTGTCACTAGCACCAGGCGCTGTCACTAGCACCAGGCACTGTCACTAGCACCAAGCACTGTCACTAGCACCAGGCACTACTAAACGCGTTAAAAATACAAAGCATATCTCGCATGGTCCTGTTCCGTCTTGTTTCAGAACGTCACTGTGTCGTGCATAATTCACTTGTAAAACACACTTGAGAGATTTCAACAAGTAAGTAAGTAGTAATCCACTAAGGAGACTTAAACTAGTGCTTAAGTAATAATCCAACGATGGAAATAAAGTAGATTTTAAGTCATCCACTTCGCCTGTGACACTCGCTGCTTTGATGCCCTACCTTCATGGTGCCAGAGAGGGGCCGTCCTGCTGGCTCAGAGGCTACACGGTAAATGCACACTTTTTGCCCTTAATTTTCCTTTTATACCACCTCTGGCTCTGCCTTTCAAATATGCAAATTAACTCGGTCTAACCATTTAATTCAGGGATCTCCGACAAGATGTGGAAGTGGGCTAGGATCCCGGATCTTCGAAAGAGCCAATAGCAAAGTGGCACTCAGGAGAGCCAATGAAGAGGCGGAGGCACTCGCTTGCCCCGCCCACAAACCCTCCGCTGATTGGTCCGGGAGAGCTAGATCCTTATTCTGATGTAAACATGAGGGTGGAGGATTCTGTCTCTGCTGAGTGAATTTTTTTTTTTGTTACGTCTACATAGTCGTCGAGTCTCTAGCTTACAAATAGTTATCATTTTATGCATCTTAAACAATATATGGGCTAATATTAGTCTGTTTAATAATCAAAAGGGAGGATTTAGACCACAATGTATCTGTTTTACGGAGAAGAAAGATGCCTTGATATCCCAGGTCGGGTGAAGACATGAGGTGTGTGCGTGTTTGGGTCGTCTTAGGTCCCACTCACTCACTCGCTCACTCTCTCTCATACACTCACACACACACACGCACGCACGCACGCACGCACACACACACACACACACTCTCCCTCCCTCCCTCTCTCTCTCTCTATCCAGGGCCACGACCGACGCTGTGAATGAAAGAGAAGCCTACCACTCTCTCTACAAGAATGCCACCACCACCATCACCACCACAGCTACTGTGCCTCGGGCAAATAGTATCTGGCTGAGGCCTACCCAGCTAGACCTAAGAACACCTCGCCTCCTGCCACACTTACACACCATACCTCATGTACTACCACACTTACACTCCACACATCATGCCCTGTTGGCTAAACAGGGAGTGCTACGGTATCGAACCAGAGACCCAAGGACGGGAGGCGAGTACAACTAGCCGATACAGTCTTAATATAAATATATATTCATGTACAGGCAACTATTAAATCCGTTCGCCTACCCCTCTGAAACACGAACCCCAAAATTCAGACTCATGAATCCGAAGAATTTATGGACAGAATAATAATGCATCAGTCTACTACTTCGGTTTCACGAGTCTGAATCTCGGGATTCGTGGTTCAGGAGGAGAAGCGAACTGACTTTAGTAATCGACTGTACATAAACACGGTTATTTTATCAAGTTACATACCTCTTAACAATATACATATAATAACACATACCTATATACCTACATATGAACCAAACATTCCAGACTTAAAGAGTTGAGAGAAATTATCCTAAATCATCTGTAGGTTATTTTTAGTAGTTTCTCCCGAGGCGTGAGGAGCATAGCCTAGCGCAGCCACCTGTCTCTGGTACAGCGTTCAGTCCCTGTGTTACTGTACAGTATATTCCTGTGTTTTGCTGTGTTGATCAGTCCATGTGGAGAGGACTACAGGTCCCAGGCATCAGTAAACAACAGTAGCAGTCAATAAAATACTAGTGTTATTCTTACGGAATGTATCAGTAAGTTAGAGGCAGAGAGAGAGAGAGAGAGAGAGAGAGAGGAACATTTTACAGACGTCTTGATTGCTTGCTGTAGAAGTCCGTTCCAGTATAATACAAACCGGGATAATATTATGTCCGCAAACTTTTATTCCATGTTGACAATCCTTGTTTGAAAGAGAGAGAAAATTATCTTAGTTTGGGATGATACAGTGTCAGCCTTCTCATTGTTCTTATAACGGGTTGTAAAGATCGGCTGAACGTATTCCCTTTCAGTAGCAGAGACGGGAGGTTTAGGCCCAGCATCAAGGATTAAAAAAATTATTAGCGAGAGTGAACGGTTTCAGGTTCTATTAAACCGACCTGAGATGACATCTATAGGATGTATAACGATAATTCTTACGGTTAAACCCCAGAGAATTGTCTTGTTGGACTAAAGGGAAACATTTAAGCTTTGTGAAGGAGAGAGCCTGAAAGATAAATTGAGAATCATATATAATCACTCCATTTAATCCGTTCTAAAGGCGATCAACCACAAAGAATCTAAGTAATTCACTTTAAGAAATAAGCTGCTCGACCAGTTTGGAAGCGTGTGGCTGCGGCCAACTGAGCCTCGTGCTGAGGTCGGGTAAGAGGAGAGCAGCACACCTCGCGTTCCTGTTTACCTGCAGGGACCAGTCGATGTACAGATGATATATACGGCAGAGACTGAGGTAGACCTGGTCAGTAGGCTCAAGATCCGGTTATTTCAGAATGTCGGACTGTGATCAACGTCTGCTACGAGTACACTGTTACCGAGGATAGTTAGCGTGCGTAAACTATTTTAATAAGGACACCCAGGTAACATCGCCATATCCGGGGATTGTTACCCGACCCAGCTAGATGATGGCCGCAAGTCCTCCAGCCGGCCAAGAAGGTGAGACAAGTGTGGCCAACCATATAGAAAACATGTGTGGACGGGCGGATAAGGGGTCGAGACAGGAATAGACGGCCAGATAAGTGACAGGTATGGACAGGTGGATATGAGAAAGAATGGATAGTTGGATAAGGGGTTGAGAAAAGGTATGGACGGCCGGATAAGGAGACCCATGTATGGACAGCCGGATAAGGAGGTTGAGGCGGGTATATGGACGACCGGATAAGGAGGTTGAGGTGGGTATATGGACGGCCGGATAAGGAGGTTGAGGTGGGTATATGGACGGCCGGATAAGGAGGTTGAGGCGGGTATGGATGGGAGCTTTCACATTCTACGGAGTCTCTGTGAGTTTCTATCCTCTGCTAGTTTTTATGGCTGTGAAATAGATACACACACGTACACGTACACACGTAAATACATACACGTACATACATACAAACATGCACTGATAGGAAGGGTGCTGGCGAGGCCTGATAGGAAGAGTGTGTTGGGTTAGGCTTGGGTTATTTTGGGGTTAAGTTAGTTGTAGGTTAAGTTTAATTACATTAGTTGATTCGTGGTTTGAATTAAGTTAGGTTAAAGTAGGTTAAGTTAGGCTTGGTTGAATAAGTTAAATAAGCTTAGATCAATTTAGTTAGATCAAATTAGGTTAAAGGAAATCAAGTTAGGTTAAAATTGGTTAGGTTAAGTAAAATATACCATGATAGAGTTAGGTTAGATTAGGTTAAGTTTGTTTAAAGAAGATTAAGTTAAATTTTAGGCTGAAGGTGAGTGAGTGTTTATCAATATTCATCCACCTGGTGATGAATGACTTGGACAGGTAAGGAGAGACGGATGATGAATCACTTAGTGTGTGTGTGTGTGTGTGTGTGTGTGTCTGTGTTTATTTACAGTAACACACAAAATACATGGGTGAAGTATGAGGAGGAGTGTATGAGTGTGGTTGGCTGTGTTTGTTTAGCAGTTTTCCAGCGTTTTTTCGAAAGAAGAAATACAAACATTACGACACACACTGCGCAAAACATCACACGAACAGAAACACTGAAGAATAATCCCAGTGAACAAGAGAAAGTTGAAAATTTTAGTGTGGGGAAACAAATGAGAAGCTGAATCACGTATAACAAAGATTGGAGAGAGAGAAAAGAGAGAGAAAAGAAAGAGAGAGAGAGAGAGGAATTTTGATTAAGAAACAGACACTCAACAATTAAACAAAGAAACAGAAAATGTTGGTAGACCGATGACGATATACTATTATTGTTTTACATTGTTCTTGTTTTACATTATTATTATATATCATTGTTACAGGCGTTTACGGGGTTATACCAGAGGGAATGGCAATTGATAGACACTTAGCGTAATATTGTCTCTTTTACACCAAGGCCAACGAGATGTTGTACCTTCCTCCGTCGTCTGGGATGGGATACATACCACGCTTAACGAGATGTGTTGAACGGTACCACCTCGTTCATTGGGTTATAACGAAATGTGTTTAAAGTGAAGGTTAATGAGTCCTGTTCGTTGAATCTAAGCCAACGGTGATCAACGAGTCGTCTTCATTAGTCTGTAGTTGGCGAGAGGAACAGAAAGAGCTATTTTTAAACACGTAGTACTATATAAGCAGCGTTCAAACCCATAGTAAACCACTCTTAATAAGTCAATGTCAACGAATCATAGTGAACACTTCTCTTCATTGGATCACGGTCAGAGAAGCAGTCAACGAGTTCTGAGCAATGACTTACCTTCAAATAATCATGGCCAGTGAACTGTACACAAAGTTACATTTAATGAGATGTGTTCAACGACTCGTGTTCATAATAATCAACGACCAGTGTTCAACGACTCGTGTTCATAATAAAAAAGCAGTGTTTAAATACTCGTATTCAAAGTTTAAAAGAGTTTTCTTCAACGAGTTTGGTTCATACCTGGCAAGCTGTGATGAAGAAATTGCATTCTTAGTCACTTAACTGTGTTCAACTACACGTCCTTCCTGTGACCTGTGACCTACGTTAACCCCACTGTCGTTAACCTCCTCAACCCTAATACAGCAATAACGAGTGAAATGACAACTGGAGATGAGTGAGCATATCCAACCGACTCAATTACGCTAACAAAATGAATTCTCTAAAGTTCGTCGGTGAAAAGTTTCCCCCAAAGTGTAGAGGAGAGCTTCTAACTGCCTGTCTTATGCAACAATAGGAAAACGATCAAAATGGCGGCGAAATTGTCTGAAGATTCTATCTTAACCAGTTTCCTTCCGTATTTTCCTATTTAAAGGGACGAAAATAAGCGGGTGAATCTTTGTGAATGCAAGACTGGCTGAGTGAATGAATGTATATGAGTGAGCGAATGGTGGGTATGAACGAGTGAGTGAGTGAACGAATGGTGGGTATGAATGAGTGAACGAATGGTGGGTATGAACGAATGAATGAGTGAACGAATGGTGGGTATGAACGAATGAACAAGTGAACGAATGGTGGGTATGAACGAATGAGTGAGTGAGCGAATGGTGGGTATGAACGAATGAATGAGTGAACGAATGGTGGGTATGAACGAATGAACGAGTGAACGAATGGTGGGTATGAACGAATGGAAGAGGTTAACAACACGATCACTCCTCCCGGGACCAAATACAAGTTTTAACTGAAAAAACAAAGCATGAATCATTACGTGAG